GTCTCTTCATATATATATATATATATATATATATATATATATCCGGATCATCAATATCTGTGTGATGAACGCTAGACAAATTAAATATTTATTATTCAATTTTTAAAATTTTTACAAAAAAAATTAAAAATATCAAAATAAATTGCGGCAACATGATCTCATAACCCAACACTTCCAATTTACATTGGTCCATATAGATGTATATACTCTGTGACAATTACTAACTAGGGTTGCCAATGAAACTCAAAGTACGAGATCTGGCCTGGACTCACCCGAACAAATAAGAAAAGCTTTAAACATATAGGTCCTTTAAGAATTCGGACTTTTAGATCGATAACCTATGGGCCGGGTTTGGGCTTCGGGCCGGGCTAGAGGTCCACCACTTTGTATTTTTGCCCTAAATCTCTGTCTCGCCTTCTGTTCAGTTCGGTTTAGCTGAGATATTTGTTCGGTTCAAATTATTTAGTTTTAGAAAAAAATGCATTTCAATCGTTATTATATTACATTCGGTTCAGTTCGGTTTGTTTTCTGTTTTTATTAAGAAAAAATATATTATTAATCTTCAATTAGCATCAGTCATATTTGTAATTGTTTCACAATTAAATCAATCAATTGCTATTTGCTAATCGATTTTCAATTACGTCAAACCACTCAATAATTAATTTATTATCAAATCAATCAAATTAACATTTTGAATTTGTATAAATAATTATAAAACTGCACAAAATTCTAGCATGGGTCTGATAAAAAAAATATTCTTACACATACACAGATTATCCTAACATATTTCATTTTATTTTTTAAAATGTATATGAAGAGGATTATGTCTTCCCAACAGCATGTTCAAAAGCTTGCAATGTATAAACTAAGATGGAGGGAAAATCTTCCAATATATCAAACGTGTTACTTGCCAACAGGTATGCACATGTGGCTTTTGTTATTTCTTTGCTACAGTTATTTAACTAATAATAAAAAAATTTAAGAAAATTATTCGCACAAATCATTATCCGCCATATAATGACATTTATAAATGATAGTGTTATATATGATATAATATCCTGAGATACTTTGAGGAATTCCTGTAAATTAAAGAAAACTGAACATAAAAAATATATATATGTTTATTTTATAATATTTTGCAAATTGAACATAAAAATGGGAGAGCGTATATGGATATGAAAATATCCTAACTAAAGATCTAAAAGAAATCTTTTTTTAAGATCTAAAAGAATTCTTATAATGAATTATTATTCCCTTAGAATCTTTCTACAGTATTGGATTATAGAAAAGAACATAGAAGGATTTTTTTTTATATAAATCATGACACAATGTATACTTGTAATGCTCTATCAACGTTTTTTTTTGTGTAAAAAAAACTCTAATAAATGTTATCTTAGCCAATTTCTAAAAATATATTTTTTTGGTAATGGTAATAACAATAATATCGTTTGTCAAAATATTTTTTTTTGGTCAGTCACATTAACTGATGCGGAGAACTCAAAAGGAGACCCCAGAAGGTTAGATTCGTGAGTGTAATAACATTTTTAAATGCACGAAGAATTAATTGTATACAATAAATAAGAACCATTAATGTTGAAATTGTAATTTGGGACCTAAATAATGCATGCAGGGAAATTTATTCAAGCAATAAATATATTCGCTCGGGGAAAATTCCAAACTTCGTGCATGCATCCACGTCGGTGGACGAACCTTCCCCATATTCCAAAATAGTTTTCTCTAGAGGTAATTAAAGGGGTATTTATTTATATTTCGGTTTTGGGTTGAGCTAATTTATATCCATGTGTTCGGTGTTTTATTCGATTCACTTTTGTTTTTCATTAAAAAAATATTTTAAAATATTTATATTTCTTTACCGGTACGTACATCTTCAAAAGGATCAGAGAAAACCATGTGAATATCCTTCCCTAAATAAGGACTCGAACCCGGATTGGAACATTCACATTAATTTTTTTACCGGTTGAATTAGTTGTATATTTGTTTCAGATTTCATCCGGAATTTACTGATTTGGTTGTAAAATTTAAATTGGACTCACTTCGAATATGGTTTTGGGTTATTCGGTTCGGCTCCCATGCATCAGTGTATATTATATGTATATAGATAAACAAAATATAAAAATGATTTTATATATATTGAATATATTTTGGTTATTAAAATTAAATGCAGAGATGGCTATGCATAAGGAACTCTCATCATCGTTACCAACAAAAGCTCCCAATCCGACATTCCCTTTTCAAGTAAGATTAAGCCATATTTTTCTTTTACGGATTTAGATTTTGCGTTCGCAGAAAATTAGGTAATGAAATTCGGTTCCATGATAATTTTTTGTTGGTACAGTTGGTGCCGTCGAAACTAGACAGAAGTCGGAGCTTGAACCGGAGATCATCTTCACCGACGCTGCTGGGTTCAGACATTCTATCGTTGATACGTCATCGTGTAAGGAAAGGCAACGCGAAAAGCTAGGGGAAAAAACTCTTTCTTTCGCAACATACATATGATGCCAATCCCAGTCCCATCGGAACTAAATCACATGTATTAGATTATGCGATTGATATGTCGTTCACGAACGTTCGATTCTCAGTCTTCCCTCTCCGATCGCGCTCGATGATTCCTTGACACTCCCTCACCCGACCGTGCGAGAAATTGGAACGAGCACCAATTTTTCCTGCGTCCGGATCCCGCGGATCCTACATCAGGGTCGAGGTAGAACTTGACAAGTTCACTATCGGAGGAAGAATTAACAAACGAAGAAACAAGACCCCCCCTCATAATTTCACTCCTTTGGTTCAAATATGAAATGCACCGTAGAATATGTTGTTACTCTTTAGTTCTCATTCTCCATCACTGTTATCAAGGAGTCTATTTTTTTATAACATGGAATCCTAACCGCTACATTTTGCGTTAGTAAAGAGTCGAATCCACAACCTTATGGTACATGACAAATTACCTTACCAAATCATGTAGAAGTTTTACCCAAGGAGCCTATTTATATAAAACTATTTCACGTTGTGGTTATAACATTACACCAAATAACCCCGAAAATAGATACAAATCATAATCGACATATAGAAAATGAGCATCTTTTGCTTGTAAGTTTTGTGTGGCCATTGAACATCTTTTTATTTTGTCAACTGTTTTGGATTTGAGAAAATAAAAAGAGAAAAATTAATTTGAAGATAAAACTGAATGGTAGGAAAAACAGTCCCCTTTTGCTTTATATTTTGATCAAAACTGATAAAAATTAGAAACACGTGGCTAATGAATTACTCTCTCCCTTTCAAACATGTTATAAGAATTCTAGCGCACAAATTAAAAAAAAAAATAATGTTTTCTCTAAAACATCCTTATTTATTATATAGATCATTATTATTTCTAAACATGCAATATTTAAATATTATAAATTAAGGGTAAATTTGGAAAAATATTAAAAAATATATTTAAAATCTAAAAACATCATTTATTTTGAAACAAAAAATTTATTCTAAAATGTCATCTATTATGAAACGGAAACGGAGAGAGTATTATTTTTTCCTCGTTAAGAAGACCAAATACAATAATCTTAAGAAGGCTGTGTGTCATATTTAAAACGCCGATCCAATGTAATTTCTTTAGCGATCTTTTTTTATTTTTTATCTTATGAATATATGTAAATAACGCTATTAAATATTGTCGATAGATAAAATTGAAAATGCTAGAAAGCGATATATATATAACAAAATTCTCTCCACAAAAAGAGGCTTTTCAAAATTTGAAACCCAAAAGTTTCCTAAAAGAATCACGAGCGTAATACCTTTAACCTGTAATGATGGTTCCATCATCCTCTGTCAAAAAGGGTGGAGGAAAAGACAGCTTCATTGACTTTACCATCAAAAGAAACATCATATGTTTGACCTTTTTTCTCCAACCGTATTTCTAACCATTTATATTTTCAATCGAGAAATTGGTAAATAAAAAAAAAAGGAATTCAATAATTTATATTGTCCAAAGAAAGGGTTTTCTACAACTTGAGAATTTAAACCATTATTATTATTATTTTTAGATTTGACTTTAAAGATCTCAAAATTTTATATTTTAGAAATGGGGTTTTGGTTCGGAGTTGGAATTTGTTCGGTCATTTATCATTTTCATATAACCATAACATATGAACTAATCAGTTGATGCCATTCTAAACATTATTAAATTTTTATTACCTTTTTTATTGATTTAATTTGATATAGCGTCTAATAACCATTTCGAACAAACGAGTTCTAATTACAAGTATTACGTATCTCTATTTAAAAAAAAACATTGAATTTTTTTAGAACAGAAAATATGTCATTTTAGAAATATAAAATAAATGGCATGACATACAACTAGGAAGTAAATATATATATGAAATGTTGAATCATATTTTTCCATAAAAAAAGAATAATGTTTGTTTTACCCAGAAAAAAAGGAAACATTGTATCCACTTTCCATTGTCATACTAAGTAAAACGCTGGATCCACTTCTGCACGTCTAATCAATGCCTTAAAATCTGCATTAATACAATAATAATACTATTATTTAATATTTCAAAATATTTTCGTATATTGATTTTAGTATGCGAATTTATATTTTTACACTAACCTAATTTAGATTGTTCTATCTAACCCTTCTTAATTTTTCGTAACTGAAATTATTATTAGTATCTCTTTATAAATGATTAAATCCCCATTCATGCATATATTAATATTTATCATGCAACATAAATAGAAAAAAAAACTCAATTACTTTGTCATGGCAAATAAACAAAATAATATCAGATAAATCAGAAGTGACTTTTGCATTAGCCTAAACGTATATACTATCACATTTTAGAAGTATAAAATAATAAATGTGAAATTGTTGAATCCAAGCTTTCTATAAACAAAAAAAAAATCAGCGAAAATATTTTACAAAAAATAAGTAAATAAAAATGCTGAATCCACTTTCCCGAAGCAAAACGTTGGATCCACTTCTCCACGTATTTAACATATCTTTAATTCTGCAATCAATGCAATTATTATTATTATTATTATTATTATTATTATTATTATTATTATTATTATTATTATTATTATTATTATTATTATTATTATTATTATTATTATTATTATTATTATTATTATTATTATTATTACCATATTTTCCATTGAATTTTCCATTCAACTAAGGAATAAAACCTCATAAAATAAAACCAGATAAGCAACTTTTCCATTAGCATGAAGTTAATCCAAGTTATACAACAAACCCTAAACTCTATCAAATCATAAACATGATTAATCTTAGTTTTGAAAGAAACAGAGGCAAGAAGAAACTCTTCCTATAGTTAGGCAGAGAACAATGTCTCGTAAATCTCCAAGAACACTTCCACAATAACCCCATGGTGATGACGCGAATTCAGGAGCAGAAAACACTGAAGAAGCTGTTGCAGATCGTCCGCCGCAAAGATCTGTCTCTCCACGATCATCTCGACCATCGATGTCCGAAAATCGTCGTACGGGTCACGCGACTTCTTCACCACCGCGAAACTGTCCCTCACTTTCACCTTTTCCGGCATAACTCCGCCGCTGGAGACGGGTTTGTCTGCTTCCCGGCGAGGGTCAGGGTTTTTGTCACGGTAAACGAAGGCCGAGGAGTCGGAGGAGAAGCTTCTGAAGGAAAAGAATGAGTCGGCCTCACCATCTTGTAGTTCTTTCTTTTGTTCTTTGTCATCATTGTCTTTGGTATCGTCGTCATCGCTGCTTGACCAGCACCATGACCCAGTTGATTTGAAGCGACAGCTTCCATCAAGTGAAGAAGAACTGAAGAGATAATCAGAACCCACTTGAGATCTCTTCCTGCAGTTTCTACGACGAGTCTGTCTCTTCGCCTTCGTCATCTTCGAATCCTTATCATACGCTCGAAAGGAACGGCTGTCGTCGTAGAAAGGGTTCGCCGGAAAAACAGGAAAAGCCGGAGGGTGTAACATGTGCCGTTCGACGGGGTTGTAGAACAGCGAGGAGTGCGCCTCCCGAACACTAAGACGGGGTGGAGTGTCTGTGCGTTTCGTGCCAGAAGGGAAGAGCCTTTGAAACGACGCAGTTTGAGAGGTTAAAGTTGAAGTCTCTACGACGTCGTGTAAGTTCCGGGGCCTGCAAGATTTGAACGATGACCGGACTAACCCTTGAAGCCGGAGCTTGAGCTTCTTCTCCATTGCAGAGAGAGAGAGGGTGTACGTGGAGAGAGATTCTTGAGGAAGGAGTGTAATATAAGGCTTTGGGAAAAGAGAATTTAATAGGAGACACATATGAATATATGCTGTATAATACTAAAAAGGAAACTTTGATTATATTTCCTTAAGTCTTGCACTAGGTTACAGAGACTTCTGATGTATATAGCTTCGCATATTGTGTTCTTCAAGAAATATAGAACCGCCGCATTGTTCTTCGGCTGTTTCTTTTCATCTCGGCTTGTGATACGTGACATGGTATCAGAGTCTGGTTCACACTAAATCGAATCAATCTTCTGCACGATGAATTCTGGCACCGACAATACCTCTGACCCGGCTGCGACATTGCATCCCGACTCGACAACAACACCGATCCCGACCATGAACCTGGCTCCGAACACCCGACGCACGATCTCCCCGTACGACTTGACCCCGAGCGACAACCCCGGTTTGATTCTCTCTCAACCGTTATTACGAGGAGACAACTATGATGAATGGTCCATCAATGTCCGTCAAGCATTGAAATCACGAAAGAAATTTGGCTTTGTTGATGGTTCGATCCCTCAACCCGATGCGACCTCGTTGGATTTTGAAGATTGGGATACCAACAATGCCCTCATCGTGTCTTGGATCAAGAACACGCTTGAAACTCACTTGCGATCAGATGTTGCGCACAGAGAATATGCCCAAGACTTGTGGGACTATCTCAAACGTCGTTTCGGCAAGGCCAATGCCCCCCGTCTCCTCAAAATCCGAAGTGAATTGGCCAATTGTCGTCAACATGGGATGAGTGTTGAAGCTTACTTTGGAAAACTCACGAAACTATGGGACGACCTCGCGAGTTTCCGCGCTCTGAAAATCTGTAAGTGTAGCAACTGTACTTGTGACGTTGCTGCAACTCTTGAACGAGAACGCAATGAAGATCGTCTCTTTGAGTTTTTGCTTGGTCTTGATGAAGCACAATTTGGCGTTGTCAAGTCAAATCTTCTATCTCGACTTCCACTGCCAAGTCTCGATGAGGCATCAACAAAGTTACGTCATTTCATTGTCCTCATTGAGCGACAATTTGGTACTTCCGTTAAGAAAATCCGCTCTGATAATGGGTCTGAGTTTATGGGTATGAGAGATTATTTTTCTGACAAAGGCATTCTTCATGAGACCTCTTGCGTTGGTACTCCTCAACAAAATGGTCGTGTTGAGCGTAAACATCGTCATATCTTGAATGTTGCTCGAGCCTTATTGTTCCAAGCTAGTCTTCCAGTGGATTTTTGGGGAGAAAGTGTCCTTACTGCAGGATATTTAATCAACCGAACTCCTTCCATGCTTCTTAACGGGAAAACACCTTATGAGCTTCTACATGGTTGTCCCCCAAGCTATGCACATTTACGGGTTTTCGGTAGTTTGTGCTATGCTCACAACCAACATCGACATGGTGACAAGTTTGCTTCTCGAAGTAAACGTTGCATGTTTCTTGGTTATCCTCATGGCCAAAAGGGTTGGCGTCTGTACGATTTAGAGACGAAGAAAACTTTGGTTTCTCGGGATGTTGTGTTCTTCGAAGATAAATTCCCTTACTCGGATCTGAATCAGGTTGTGGTTCAGCAAACATCAGCAACACCATTTGCTGTCTCTGATGATGATGTCGTGATTCGGCCAGTTTCTACAGCGTCACCCATTCTTAACGAGCCTGAAGTACTCAGTCCTGCATCATCGACAGAATCTGATCTACCAAGAACTCCAGTTGAACTTTCTCCAGCCTCTCTTGTTTCATCTCCTAACCCAGATTCTACCGAAACTGATTCTGAAGCAGTCCAGGTCGAGGAGGCTCCCTCGTCTTCCACCAACATCGACCTGGTACCTATTGCTACCTCTGCTCCGACAGACCTTGGTAGGGGTCATCGACATAGGCGCCCAAACACTCTACTTCGGGATTTTGTGACCAATTCTGTTCAGGTCTCCCATCCAACCGCGTTTCCCATCAGTAATTTCGTCTCCTACCATAATGTGCTTCCAAAACATCGGGCCTTTCTCGCTGCAGTGACTGTCGGCACTGAACCCCGCAGCTATAAAGAAGCTGTTCATGATGTGCGATGGCGGACAGCAATGCGTGATGAGATTTCAGCTCTTGAACACAACAACACATGGACACTCGAGACTCTTCCTCCGAATAAGAAAGCCATTGGTTGCAAATGGATTTTCAGGATTAAATACCGCTCCGATGGCACGATTGAACGCTATAAAGCGCGGCTGGTTATTTTGGGAAACAATCAGATCGAAGGGGTCGACTATGACGAAACATTTGCTCCTGTAGCTAAAATGGTCACTGTTCGGACATTTCTTGCCGTAGTTGCTGCTCGGAATTGGGAAGTTCACCAAATGGACGTGCACAACGCTTTTCTCCACGGTGATCTTGACGATGAAGTGTACATGAAGTTGCCGCCCGGATTTTCTACTTCTGATCAGACTAAAGTATGTCATCTACGCAAGTCACTATACGGCCTGAAACAAGCGCCTCGATGCTGGTTTGCCAAACTCCGCACGGCTTTGCTCAAGTATGGCTTCATTCAATCCCAGTCTGACCATTCGTTGTTCATCCTTCAACGATCCTCCACTCGACTCCATGTTCTAGTGTATGTCGACGATCTCTTACTTACGGGAAACTCTAGCTCCGAGTTGGCAGTGTTCAAGGCGTATCTCAGTCAATGTTTTCATATGAAGGATCTTGGACCTCTCAAATACTTTCTCGGCATTGAAGTGGCTCGCAATCCCTTGGGTATTTCCTTGTGTCAACGGAAATACACGTTGGATATCCTTGCTGAGACGGGATTACTTGGAGCGAAGCCTGCCTCTTTCCC